AATATGTACCCTGTGTTTGTCCCACCATTGCATCTTGGAAGTAGATAATTTGTATTGATTTCACAGATGGGACTTTGAACTTTGGGCTCTTGAGTTGAAACAAGTTAAGACTTTGGGGATGAAATGGAATGTATTTGCATGTGAAAAGGACATGAGTTTTGGGGGGCCGGGGGTAGAATGTAGTGGATTGAGGATTGAATTATTTCCCCCCCAAACTCCTGAAACTTGAGTTATGTCCCCCAAGTTTTATGCATTAGGAACTTAGCACACAGTGTGATTGTTAAGAGGGTGGGAAATCCTATTATGGTAACTGTAAGGTGGGGCCTTGAAGAAGTGATTAGATTGTAGGACCATGCCATGGTGAATGGATTAAAAATGGTGGTCAGGAGCGTGGTTCTGAGGGCTTTAAAAGAAGAGGAGAGTCTGCCTTTCTTGCCCTTTCTCTGCTCTTTCTGCTTCCACCATCTTGCAATGTGAGACCCTTGGCCACCACCAGATGGAGTTTGGACTTCCTGGCCTCAGAAACTGTAAGCACTAAATTTTGTTTTTCTTTATAAATCACCCAGTTTCAGGTGTTTTGTTATAAGCAACATAAATGGACTAATACAGTTAGCTTATTCCTCATTACAACATGTGATTATTAACTTTGTGTTTATTAACTAATTTCTCATTAATTTCTCATTAACCTCCCTCCCTCTCCCTCCCTCCCCCTTTCCACCTCTAGTAACCACTGCTCTGTTCTATTTTTGTAAAAGTTCAATGCATAATTATTGTTGTTTCTCTCTTTTTCTTTATTGTTTATTTGTTTATTTATGAATTCGGCTCCCACATATGAGTGAGGACATGTAGCATTTCTCTTTCTACTCCTGGATTATGTCAGTTGGCGTAATTTTCTCCAGGCTCACCCATGTTGCTGCGAATGGCAGAATTTCCTTCTTTTTCATGGCTGAGTAGTAGTGCATTGTGTATATACACCACATTTTCCTTATCCAGTCATCTATCAATGGACATTTAGGTTGGTTTCATATCTTGGCTGTTGTAAATAGAACTGCAATAAACATGGGAGTGCAGGTGTCCCTTCAACATGATGATTTCCACTTCTTTGGATATATACCCAGTAGTGGGATTGCTGGATTGTTTGGTAGTTCTATCTGTAGTTTAAGGAAGCTCCATACTGTTCTCCATAATGGCCGTACTAATTTACAGTCCCATCAACAGTGTGGAAGGATCCTCCTTTCTCCATATCCTCACCGGCATTTGTTGTTCTCTGTTTTTCTGATAATGGCCAATCTAACTGGGCTAAAATGATAACACAAAATGGTTTTGGTTTGCATTTTCCTGAAGATTAATGATGATGAGCATTTTTTCATACATCTGTTGGCCATTTGTATGTCCTCCTTTGAGAAATGTCTATTCAGCTTCTTTGCCCATTTTTTAATCTGATTATTTGGTTTTTTACGGTAAGGTTGTTTGAACTCCTTGTGTATTCTTGGTATTAATCCATCATCAGATACATAGTTTGCAAATATTTTCTCCCATTCTGTATATTGTCTTTTCATTCTGTTGATTGTTTCCTTTGCTGTGCAGAAGTTTTTCAGTTTGATATAATCCCACTTGTTTATTTTTTTCTTCTGTCGTCTGTGCTTTTGGGGTCTTATTCATAAAGTCTTTGCCCAGTCCTACGTCCTGGAGTGTTTCCCCTCTATTTTCTTCAAGGAGTTTTATAGCTTCAGGTCTTATATTTAAGTCTTTAATCCATTTTGAGTTGATTTTGGCGTATTGCAAGAGGTACGGATCTAGTTTCCTTCTTCTACATATGGATATCCAGTTTTCCCAGCACCATTTATTGAAGTGGCGGTCTTTTTCCCAGTGTATATTCTCAGTTGGTTAGAGCACTGCCTTGTAACACCAAGGTCAAGAGTTCAGATCCCCATACTGACCAGCCACTGGGTGAAGAAATAAATCTCTAAATCTATAAAATTTTCATGTATTTTAATAAACAAAAGTATGTGTATAGTATTATGTTATTCATTTTATTTTGAGAAACAACTGAACTTACACAACAAATTATAGATGCACTTTCTCCTAGGTAATCTGAGAGGCTCTGCATTAATCTCCAAATGTCTTGGGATCTCTTCTTTTGGATTTTCTTGTAGAGAAAGTTTATATGTCATAGAACAAAATCAAACAAATTACTTAAAGAACACATCAAAGGTCCCATACATAATATCGGCAAAAATTATAAAATATTGAGCAATATATCCAAAAAAGTTACTTGCTTATGAAGAAAAGTATTAAAACTTATACTTGCTTGCCTAACTTTATTCATTTACAAAAATTCTTTCAACTATTTCAAAAAGACAAAAAAGATAAAAGTTGCTCTCAATGGTTAAAGTCAGATACCACTGAGAATATTAAAAAATTATGCTATGTAATACAAAAAAAGTTCTGGACTTAAGATATATTTTTACAAAAAATATTACTTATGATTACATAACTTTTATTTTTTATTAGAATTTGTATTGCCAGCTACTAAGTGCAATAATAGTGTTGTTATTCTTATTTTGCTCCATTTCTCTTCCTCACTATTAACAAGCTTATAAATATCCTTTAATATATATCTTTGTACATCTATAAATAAATATATATATAAATGTATAACTAGGATGATAATATCTATTTAGTTTTTATCACACAAAATTTTTTTGGGGGGAGGCTGTTCATCTCTCTCCTTCTTTTGTTTATTCTCTCCTCCCACCTGTACCCAGTCAATATTAATAATCTGGTGTCTACAATTTCATACTATCTTTATGTTCATATGGTTATATGAAAATATGTGTGTGTACATGTGTGAATTCATAGGTATACATAAGAGTGAGAGTTTTAAAAATTCCTTGTCTGTTTAATGTGATCATGTTATGTACATTTCTCTGCATCTTGCTTTTCTCACTTTGCTAACAATTTTGGACACTTCCCTGAGTTAACAGGTAGAGCTATAACTCACTTTTAAGTGATTGCCATAATATCGATTAGTATGATTACACCAGGATTTGTTCAACCATTGCTTTATCCTGATTGGTTTTCATATTTTTTCCAGTCTTTTGCCACTATGAAAAATGCTGCAGTAAACCTCTTTCTCTATGAAGTGATGGGTTATTGCTGTAGAATGTACTGCAGACATGATTTGCTGAATTGAAAGGTATGTCTATTTTTATTTTTAAAAGATGTTGATAAATTGTGTTTAAAGGGCTTAATAATTTACATTTGCACCAGTAAAGTGTGAGAGTGGTCTTTTCCAGATTCCTGTATGCAGCAAATTTTGATAACCTGAGTTGTGAAAAATGACGTCTTATTTTACATGCATATTCTGTATACTAGGGAAGTTGAGCATCTTTTCTTACATTTAATGAATATGTTAACATATTTTCCTGTGACTGGCCTATTCAATTTTTTATCATTTTTCTATGGAATTATTTAACTTTTCTTATCAATTTTGTAAGATTTCTTGGCTTGTGATAGATACTAACATGTTTACATATCATATTTACTGTAAATAGTTTTTCTAAATTTTTATTAACCTTTCACCTCATTATAGATTTGTTACATACTCTCTCCTTATAAAATTAAAAATTAGATTAAGTACAACTTTATCTTATAATTCATGGGTTTCTTGTTTTGGTTAAAAAATTTCTGTAATATATTTAAATTATATTTATTTTACGAATCTTCTTAAAATGTTTTAATTGCTTATTTTTTAAACTTTCAAATCCTTGATCCAATAGCAATTTTAAAACTAGTCATAGGAGGGGGAACCGTTTTCCTTTTTCTTCAAGATGGTTTACCATATATATATATATATATCCATACTATCTATTTAAAAAATTATCATTTTTCCTCTGTTGATATGTCACCTAGGCAATATATTAAATTTCTATGCACACATGAAATGATCTCTATAGTCTTTATTTGGTTTCACTATTAATTTTTCCTGTTTCTATGCCATATCATATTTTATGAAACGGCTTTATGTTTTGACATTGGACCTTGTCTCTTCAAAACAATTTTATTTTATATAAACTTTGTGTTTATAGCATCACATTAAAAGTGATTAGTTTTCTAATTGAAATTAATTTCAATTCTACTGACACATTTATAACACTGTTTTCTTATCCAAGAACATATTTTGGCTGTCTGTTTCTTCAGAAATTGTATAATGACCTTTGGTAAGTTTTTGTAATTTTCTTCACATAGGTCTTATGGATTTAAAAAATTATTTCAATGTATTTTAATGTGTTATGGCTATTAAAATTGAAATATTTGTTTTTCTGTTCGTTATTTGCATAAAAATAGCTAGTGATAATTTACATATACATCCTGCATGCAGTACTTATTAAATAAGTCATTTGTTTAATCATAATAATATAACATTAGCAAAAAATACAAATTTACCTCCTACAATTTTTATAATATTTTATATCTTTAATATATTATTTCATTTAATTCTTGCATCTTAGATGTGTTAGAATTTACAAGATAATACTCATAATCATGGTCAGATTGAACATTTTAATTTGTTCCTAACTTGAAGAAAGATGCTGTATTACTTAGAATGTGTGCTATTACTTTTTGATAACTAATCTTTAGCATATTTAAAAAGCTTATTTTATTTCTGTTCCTATTTTTAAGGATTTTTAAATTAGGAGATGCTTATTAAATTGCAATCAATTTTTCCAAATTAAAAAATAAGCCCACTTCACTCATACAGGCAATGAAATATTTATTATACACAGTATATATAGTTTTAATTTTTAGGACCAGTTTTCCAAATACTTATTTTTTGTATAGAATACTTACTCAAGGTAAAAGGTAAGTCTTAAGATTAAAGGAGACACATAAACAAAGAAGATGCTTTTTTCCCAAATAAAATGTGATATTTTCATGGTCTTTTATGACTGTGTTCTTCACTTACTCTCTCATTGCAGTGATCAGTCTGAGTAAATATGATAGACACAAACAAGACACAGGTGATGGAGTTTGTCCTCACAGGACTAACAGATCATCCAGAGCTGCAGCTGCCCCTGTTCCTGGTGTTCTTCGTGGTCTACCTCATCACCATGGTGGGCAACCTTGGACTGATTGCTGTCATCTGGAGGGACCCTCACCTTCACACCCCCATGTACTTGTTCCTTGGCAGTTTAGCCTTTGCAGATGCTTGTTCTTCATCCTCTGTGACCCCCAAGATGCTTGTAAATTTTTTATCTAAGAATCATATGATATCTCTGACTGAGTGCATCACCCAATTTTATATTTTTGCTTCTAGTGCAAACACAGAATGCTTCCTTCTGGTAGCAATGGCCTATGACCGCTATGTAGCCATATGTAACCCCTTGCTTTATCCAGTAGTGATGTCCAATATCTTTTGCATTCAATTATTGGTTGTTTCATATATTATTGGGTTTCTTCATCCCATGATGCATGTGGGTTTGTTATTTAGATTAACTTTTTGCAAGTCCAATGTAATACATTATTTCTACTGTGAAATTTTACAACTATTTAAGATTTCCTGTACTGATCCTGGAGTTAATATGCTCTTGATTTTTGTATTTTCAGTCTTCATACAGTCTTTCACTTTTATGACTATCATCATCTCTTACTCCTATGTCCTCTTTGCCATCCTGAAAAAGAAGTCTGAGAATGGCAGAAACAAAGCCTTCTCCACGTGCAGTGCCCATCTGCTCTCTGTCTCCTTATTCTATGGAACGCTATTCTTCATGTATGTGTGTTCTGGGTCTGGACCAGCTGAAAATCAGGACAAAATGTATTCTTTATTTTACACAGTAATAATTCCCCTGCTAAATCCTTTTATTTACAGCCTGAGGAACAAAGAGGTCAGATCTGCGTTGAGGAGAATAATAAATAAATAAACAGTTCTTAATTCAAACTTCAAACTTTTTATTTTCAAACTTTACAGAAATAGGGGGCCTCAAGTTATGCAAATTAGCCTTGACTTCATAGTTTTAACAAAAAGCTAGTGTCTAGGGTGGTTTCTGAGTGCTGCGTAGTGAGTCAGCTCCACTAGATATTTGCTTCACTGGAAGGGAATTTTCATATCACATAAAACTGAATTCTTTGTGAATTCTTCTCTCTTAAATTGAGCATTCAGAATTTGAAATTTTTTTTTTTACTCTTTGTAAATTTCTTCTCAATTATATTTAGTAGTTTGTAATTTTACTTTGGCAGACATTTGCATGTTTCTTTATTTGGTTCTGGTACGACCAACCCCACAAAACTGTCCAGAGTCTACCTATCAAAGTTTTTGCTACTTCTCAACTATTCAGATACTCAGGTGAAGTGACTTCTTGGAGAAAACTGTCACTGAAGAGAAAACTCTATTTGTAGTAAGGAAAATATTTAAAAAGTGTAGAATATAAGATATTGGTGAATTTACTAAAAGTAATGGAAGTTGGGATAAAATTAAGAGTGGACTATTGAATAAAAGTATGGCTTACATATGTGAAAACGCATAGTACATTTTATCAGGGAAGTTATACGCAATGTAAGTATTCAATAATTTATAAATTTTGGAAGACTTCAGGATGTATCTCTTCAGATATTAGGGGTCTACTGTACTGTATTTATCTTTACATATTTAATAAAATAGAAACAGAAATTTTCAGTTACTGCTCTTCTTACGATGTAAATTTAAAAAATTTTAAATTATTATTCAAGTAAAAATAATTTATTTCTGTATCTACACAATAAAACATCTCAATTTGAATAAGTGCCACTTGGAATGGTTCTGATTTCTGAAGTATTTGGAAAGACCTTCGATATAATATTTATTTTTCTCTAATTGACTATTCTGTAATGAATAGTGACTTTCTCTGTTGGTACTCTTCCAAATTTAAAGGAACTCTAAAAGTGGTAAATGTAATTGTTGAATCTTCTCCCGCCCCCCGCCCCCCACTTTTTATTTATTTATTTATTTATTTATTTATTTATTTATGTTTATTTATTTATTTATTTTTAGCTCCCACAAATAAGTGAGAACCTGTGATATTTCTCTTTCTGTGCCTGACACAACAATCATAACAATTCCTTGAACTTGTTAAGACAAGTGAACAGATATGATGTGGGAGGAGGGGAGAGAGGGAGGGAGGAAAGAGGAATGGGTAAAGCGTCACGAAAATCAACTACAAGGTACATTGAGAAGTTAAAATTTAAAAAAAGTGTTAAATGTATAATTTATTTTGAATCTATATTTTTGGCTATTCACCAGGGTCGTCTTTAATTCCAACATATTATATCATGTTTACTGTGGCACTATTTCATTGTTTAAGGTTTTTTTGCACTGACTCTTCTATTACTTATCTAATTGTTTTTATTTTCTCTGATTCAATTCATGTACTCACTATTTTGACTATTCTTATTTCTTATACACTTGTTATCTTTGTGATCTTAAAAAGGCATAAGGAAAGCCTTTTGCACCTGTTGAGCCCATTTCCTGTCTGTGTCTTTATACTATGCCCCTCTTCTCTTCTCTTAAAATTTGATGGAGTCTCTATTTTACACTATCGTAATTCCTTTTTTAAATCCAATTATCTACAGCCTGAGAGATAATAAAAGTCACAGATTTGTTTATAAAAACATTAAAGATAAATGTTTTTATCTCGTATTAATATCTCTTCTCTTTCTATTAAAACACTCACACAATTGTGCAGGTCTTATGTGGCTATAGTTTGGATACTATTTAAAAATTTTTGTAACTGCAATTTTCCTAGAATTTTAATGAACTAAGATGCATCTAATAAACTCCTTGAAATATTTATATGTTATTCAAAAATATACAAAGAATTTGTATCAAGTGCTCATGTTACACCAGAGTAATTAAAACAAAAAAAAAAAATGAAAACACTTTACAGGTTTGTATATTCTACACTGTGGCTTCATAAATGCCTTAAGTGCTAAAATAAGTTGCTATAAAAAAGACTTGAGTAGTGCCTTGGGTTGAATGTCTCCTTAGCCTTAATCCCTACTGTAATTGCTGAGGGTGGGAAATCCTATTACGGTAATTGAAAGGTGGAGCCTTGAAGAGGTGATTGGATTGTGGGATCATGCAGTAGTGAATGGAATAAAAATGGTGGTCAAGGGTGTGGTTCTGAGGGCTTTATTTTATTTTTTTGTATTTTATTTTATTTTTAAATTTATTTATTATTATTATTAATTATTTTACCTTCTAAGATGTTGTTGCAGAGCAGTTGGTGGGGAAGGGGAGAAGGATAGGGTGAAAGGAGGAGGAAGAAGGAAGAGGGCTTGGTTGAGGCCCATGGCACCCCCTTCATTCTGGCAGGGGAGCCCAGGCAGGGCTGAGTCCCTCCGTGCCCCCCACCTCCACATGGGAGCCTGGGGCACTTCCGGTAGTGGCTAAGTGGTCATTATTGGGCTGCATGCAAATGTTGGGAGGGCATGGCTGAGGCCCTTGGGCCCCACCACCCCAGCCTGGGAGCTCAGATTGCTTCAGGTGGTGGCTTGGTAGTCACTGCTGGGATGGATGGGGACATTGGGGGGGGGAGCGTGGCTGAGGCTATTATGATAATTGAAAGGTAGGGACTTGAGGAGGTGATTAGATTGTAGAACCATACCATAGTGAATGGATTAAAAATGGTGGTCATGGGCATAGTTCTGAGGGCTTTAAAAAGAGAATGAATTGAGGTTACTTTCTGCTCTCTCTGCTCCACCTTTTCTGCAGTGTGAGACCACAGGGTTACTGTTGCCACCACCAAGACCCTCACTGGATATATGCTTCCCAGCCTCCAAAACTATAAACAATAAATTTCATTTTCTTTATAAATCACCCCGTTTCAAGTATTTTGTTATGAGCAACAGAAATGGACTAATACAGAAATTTAGTACCAGAGAATTGGGATGTTGCTTATAACAAATACTCGAAAATGTGGAAACAGGTTTGGAACTGGGTAAGAGGAAAGGCTGGAAGAATTTGAAGGAACAGGCTAGAAAAAGCCTAGCTGCTGGTGAAAATTTAGAAGACAAGAAAACCAGAGAGAGTTTGGAATGTTTTAGAGACTGGTTGAATAGTGGTAAGCAAAATGTTGATAGAAATATGGACAGTAAAGGCCATCTGAAGATTTTGGATGTAAATGAGAAGGAGCTTTTTGGCAACTGAGGCAAAGATCACCCTTGCTCTGAACTGGCAAGGAACATGGCTGCACTGTGTCCATGCCCTAGGACTTTGTGGAAGTTGGAACTTAGGAGTTGTGAGCCAGAGTATTTGGTGTAAAAAATTTCCAAGCAGCAAAATGTTCAGGAAGCTGCATGGCTACTTGCAACAGTCTATGCTAAGTTATGGTGGTAAAAGGATGATGTAAAGCCAGAATGTATAATTAAAAAGGAAGCAGAGTGTAAGGATTTGGAAAATTTGTAGCCAAGCCACGTGGTAGAAAAGCAGAGAGCATTTTCAGAAGAAAAGTGCAATGATGCTAAAAAGATTAGTACAAAAGAAAGGGATTATCTAGAGAAGTGGGAAAAGGCCCTGAAGGCATTGCAGAAGTTTCTGGGGAGAACCTTTCCATTTCAGGCCCAAAGGCCTATAGGGTGACAGAGTGGCCTCAGAGAACAGGCCCAAGGCACCCTCCATGGACTTGCTGCCCAGGGCCACCTTGGGAAGCTGCTTCCAGCACCAGCACTCCAGCTGCTTCGGCTGCTCCAACTGTGGCTAAATTGGCCCCAGGTGTGTCTGGATGTGCACCTTTGGAAAATACAAGCTGGAAGCTTTGGCGGAAACCATATGGTGTTAGGTCTGCAGGCTTGCACGATGCCAGAGCTGTGAAGGTTTGGGAGCCTCCACCCTGATTTCAAAGGATGTATGGAAAAGCCAGGGGGGCCAGGAAGAGATCTGTCATGGGGGTGGATTCACCATGTAGAGTCTTTGCTAGAGCAATGCCAAGTGGAAATGTGGGGTCAGAGTTGCAGCAGAGAAATCCCATTCAGCTCCATATCTATAGTGGAGCCATGAGAACAGGACCACCATAGAGACCCCAGACCTGTAGAGCTACGAGAGTGGAACACCAGCCTGGGAGAGCTGAAATGTGGTCTCAGATCAGGAAACCCATAGAAGTGGAGCTGTCTGAGGATTTAGGGGTCCAATTCTCACACCAGTGTGCAGAGGACATTGAATATGGAGGCAAGGTACACGATTCACCAGCTTTGAGAATTAATGCCTGCCCTTCTGGCTTTCAGACTTGTTTGGGACATGTTAACCCTTTATTTTGGCCTATTTCTCCCATTTTGAATGAGAATATGTACCCTATGTTTGTCTCACCACTGTATCTTGGAAGTAGTATAACTTCTTTTTGATTTCACTGGTGGGAAATTGAACTTTGGACTTTTGAGTTGAAACAAGTTTGACTTTGCGGATGGATTGAATGCATTTGTATATGAAAAGGACATACATTCTGGGAGGCTAGGGGGAGAGTGCCTTGGGTTGAATGTCCACCCAAAACTTAATCCCTACTGTAACTGTTGAGGGTGGGAAATCTTATTATTGTAATTGAAAGGTGGGGCCTTGAAGAGGTGATTAGATTGTAGACCATGCCATAGTGAATAGATTAAAAATGGTGGTTGTGGGCATGATTCTGATGGCTTTAGAAAGAAAGTGAATGAGGATGTTACTCTCTGCTCCACCATTTTCTTTTTCTTTTTTTTTTTTTAAAAGATGACCGGTAAGGGGATCTTAACCCTTGACTTGGTGTTGTCAGCACCACGCTCAGCCAGTGAGCGAACCGGCCATCCCTATATGGGATCCGAACCC